ATTATATCCTCTTTTAAACATCAATAATAATAACTGTAGGGATTAACTTACACAAGGTTTCTTCTTTTGTCATAAAATGTTATGGCCCAGTTTTCATTGTAAGAAATTACCTGAAATAATCCAAAGTGTCCTGCAGTATTTTTCCACTCTGTATTATGATGTGTTAAATGTGGGAAACTTTGAGCAAGAACAGTGTAATAACACAGACACTGTCACCACGTTTCATAGTTTTATTGAATCTTTCTCAGCTTTAATTGTCTATGATAAGCATAATTCTGATGACCACAATTATGAAGCTCTGCTGTTACTATAAATAGCAGATACAAGGTTGGCTGCCATGCCTTGGACACAACACACACACACACACACACACACACACACACACACACACACACAGAGGCAAAAGCATAGCAATACAGGAGATTCTGCAGCCTCCTACAGTCCAACAATACTGTGCTTTTACAGGAGTGTACTCCTTATTACAAGACATATTACGTGAAATCAATCCAAATTTTGTTAACCTACCACTGATGCAGATAAACCTGAGAAGGCTCAAAACGTCAAGTAACACTGTTCCATACCACTCAATTAGCACTGTTAACCACAAAGAAATCTGCTCAGTCATCTACATGAAAATCACAGATATTATAAAAATAAAATTTTCTTGCAAAATCGCTAAAATAACACAACTCAAATGCACACATTTTGATATGTAACATAAGTTCACCTTCATTTAGAAAATGTGACAGAATTTAGCAGCCAAATGATACATTTATCACTAAAATGTTGGCATTAAAGTTACCAACTGCCCAAAGAGAAAACAGGATTAAAATCAATTGCAATGCTGAACTTGTTGGTAGTGTTAATAAAAACCCCACCTCAAAGAAGTTAGAATGTACTGTGTTACCTTGAGAAAAAAGACAATACAAAGCTTCAAGATCTAGCAGAAGTCTATCAGCTGCACTTTTCTCTCCCTATTTCACTAAATTTGTGTTTAAATTCTTATGTTATATCTATAATGCCCAACCCACTAGACTTCTAAATAATCAATTTTGATTAGTAAGACAAACCTCTAGCCTTTGGCAATGGAAGCCCTGACATAGTTAGGGCAATATTCTAAACTTTCTGAAAAGACAACACAAACTTTCTATAATATAAATATATATAATGTACATAATACAGAACCTATCTAACATATTCCATACTCGCTATGAATCTTATAGTAATCTAACACCAAATTGTGTAAGGAAAGCATGCAAATCCAAATCCAGGGAAAATTAAACACATAATAAAACAGATTTTTTTTAGATCCAAATACAAACTAGTCTTAAATGTTCAATATTAATATCTGAAAAACATCTTAAATATAATTGTCATTTTATCTAGCATTATATATTATTGTAAAATATGCCAGTGTGACATTTGGATATTATACATTGCAATAATAGAATTTACATCAGTATTTTATACCTTCAAAGATGTTTTACAGTCTGTACAGCTGAAGGACTGTGAGCTTCATCAATAAATACTATTACAATAATTACATTCGATCGGCAAAAGAATGCTCCAATACATATTACTAGTATCACATCGTCTTAGTCCTGTCACTAGTTGAATTCTAGCTGTTGCTAAGTACTGGTATCTGTCCTATCAAAAGCTGGTTTAGTATCCTGGCTGAGTAAGCAGAGATTTTCAGGTTTCCAACCTGTCCATACCATAGTTGGTGATCACTGAGAATTTTATCCAAGGGCTAGATGGAAGAGTCCTAGGAAGCACAGAAAAAGGTTTCAAACAGTTCTCATTGTCTGCTTTTCACGATTCCCACAGTACCCATGGTGTCAACAAATGGGTGTCCTGTCACCTTTTCTGTTCATGAAGAATGGGCTTCAAGTGTCAGGACTCCAACAACTTCTCAGTTGCCACCATCGTGGTTTAATTTTGAATTCTCTCTTGTGTGCATAAGTTTCTTCTTAATTTATCCCTTTAGTTCAATATAAGTTCAAAGCAACCTTCAAAGAGTCCAAGAGCAATTTGTATTAACAACAAAACCAAGAACAAACATAAACCCTTGCACTTGAAATGAAAACAGTTTTGTAGCGTGAAATTCAATGACTTGCTGAATCTTACAATTTTAGGTGTCCTTCACCCAAATGCCAACAGATCTGTCTTTATTATGGACATGCTTACTCATATCTGACGGCACAAATTGGTCTTTTGGCCAATAAAGTGTTCCTTCATCCTGACCTGTACATGCACAGGTCGTCTCAGGGACTTCTTTTGACCTGGAAGAAGTTGGCCGACAGTCAGTCTTGTTACTATGTTAAATGACGAAGCAAGTTAAGAAGAAAGTGTTCTTCCTTAGGGGCTGGGGTTTATAGCTCAGTGGTTGAACTCTTGCCTAGTATCCACTTGGACCTGGGGCTAATCCCCGAGAATGAGGAACGTGGCAAAGTGTAAAAGGGGACCTTGGTCCCCTCACCAAAATACACTCTGAAAGAATCATTTATGAAAGTTGAAACAGTGCATTTAACACATATCCAAAATCAGGCTGGCATCCTAAGACTCAAAGGAGAACACTGTATTAAATAATGAGGAAATGATACAGACATATGGATCACTGAGCTGTGCATTTCTGAAATTTCCATTTGGATTAGCTTAACAAAATTACTTTTGAGCCACTGAACATTTTGAAGTGTCAACATAATGAGGATGTATTTTAGATTTTGTCTTGTAGAATTCTGAAACAGAAAATGCTGCATGAATCTTACCACTTGGGAGCTCTGAAAAACCTCAAAGTGGAAGACACTGGAAGCGTCTTCTTCAGTTGGCTTTTATGGTAATACTGAATGTGCAAAGGAACCACTAGATAGGAAGGCTAAATGCAGCTTTTCTGGACCTAAGTAACAATAGATTGGGCAAATGGAAGCACTCCAAAGATCTCCCAGATCCCCAGTCACTTGTGTGTTTAAAAACTGACATTAAACCCTGAATTTTATGTCATTATATCCTACTGGCACAAGGTTCTTTTTTTTTCTTATAAAGTACTTTAAAAGCACTTTTTTACCACCATTTTACAAACTCAGAAGATAGCTGTGTAAAGACTAGCTTTCACAGTTAAAATTCCTTGGACATCAGATTATTTATTTGTGACTTTTATTTCCTCATTATTTTAATTAAATAAAATTTGATGATTCCAAGGACTATAAATGTAGCAATTCATTATTCATTGAAAATTATTTTTAAATTTCAATATACTTTACCACCATTTCACTACTGTCTAGCAGGCAAGAGTAGAAAACACTGGCTTGATGAATACTTTCAATGACCTTCTTTTCAGTTTTATGGTAGCTTGGGTACTTAAAAGTTAATTTCCTTTATTTTTTCTCTTTGCAGATATTTTTCATTTTAAGAGTCATTAAAAGCTTACAATTCATTAAAAGATTGCTTTCCATGTTCTTGGCACACCTATGACTTGCTTACATTCACTTTTCAGTCTGCATTTAATGTTTTCAAGGACTTTGAAGAAACAGAAGGAACCTTCCCATCATTATTTTAGTTTTTACACCCTGCTAGAACTCTTCTCCCCACCCACAGCTGCATTGTGAGATGTCTGTCACCATGGCCCTCTGAAACACTGACAGTCCTGCCCAATATCTCCCAATCTACTAACAGTTCTGCTGCTTCACCCAACCAAACTGTAGTCTGAAATTTAACTGTGATTTCTCAAATTGTTTTCACAGATGTGAGTGAGGCACTTCTCTTGGAACACAAAGTCCAAAGACACTACACAGCAATGGTGCAAGTGAGAACTTTTTTTTCCCAGGAAGCCTAACAGTCCACAGTATTTATAGAAAAACACATGCACTCCAATTATTTTGAATGCATTTTGCCAATAATATCTGCAGCCTCCCACCACCAAACATTAAACAACAATGTGCAGTAATCAGTTTTCCAGAAATAACTGGAAATACTCACTTTCCACACATGAAAGTTCATTGATTTTATTTTTGTATTCAATTCCCCAAAGACATTATCAGCCACCATCTATGCTTCTGAGGAACTGAAAGGCATGTACCACAGGCATCTGCTCATTACTGAATGAGGATGCCAAACAGTTTTTGAAAGTATAGATTTTAGTTGGTTTATACTGTACGTTATTCACAGCAACGAGGCTGGACAAATCACAAACTCAAATTCCAGGTGGCCAGTTTTCTTGGAGAAACTTTTAATATCAAAATCGCTCTGCTACACATGCACACGCACTTTAAATATAGAAAAGCCTGTGAATTTCAAAGGAAGAAGAGTGAGTGTTTATCTAGGTAGTACTGTTTGATTACACATACTTCTAATTAGTAAGAAAGGAGCTTACAGGAAGGAAAAATAAATGTGAATGTATAATGAATTGATGCTTCTTTTTATATATATATATAAACACTCACTACTTTCTTGTTCGTAATGTTAAGGACAGGAAAAGCAGCAGGTTCTAATGAGCATCCTACCATGTTACAAAAGTGAGGTGTTTGGGTCTTGGGCCTTCACAAGCTTGTGTCTCCATTCTGCTTGAACTCAGATAAAATATTGAGAGTCATTTCCTCACTCTTGGATTGTAAATTGGCCTCACTCCTCCTGGAAGCTTTCCTGGTGGCTCGGGACAGTCTCCTTCTGAATGTATCTCCCCGCCAAGAAATAAAGAATGGGGTCCACACAGCTGTTGAGGCTTGCTAGACCTCTCGTCACCTGGTAAGTGGCATAAACCCTGTCATTGAAAGCACACATTTCTGGGGTCTGGAAATCCAGCCGCGCCCGCAAATTCATCGTTTTCATCACATGGAAAGGGATGTAAGACACAGCAAACACCGTCAGGACAATTATTACCAGGTAAATGGACTTCCTTCTGAGAGGAGAGTTGTCCAGGTCTTTGTAAATCAAAGCTCTAACAATTAATCCGTAGCAGCCCAAGATCAGCACCAAGGGGATGCAGAACATGGCCACTGTTGTGCACATACTGTAGATGAAATAACTTCGCAGGTATTCATCGGAGGTGGTGTCATAGCAGGTGACGGTTTTATTTTTCCGAATCCCAGTGCCAGAGTAGAAGAGAATGGGGGAGATGGCCACCACCACAATGAGCCACACCAGCACGCTGACATAAATGGCATTCTTCTTCTTGAGCCTGCCCAGGGACTTGAGCGGGTACACCACGCCGCTGTACCTGTGTGCACTGATGCAGGTGAGGAACAAGATGCTGCCGTAGAGGTTTACATGGAAGATGAATCTCTGCAGCTTGCACATAGCATCCCCGAAGATCCAGTCAGTCTTGTTGAAGTAGTAGAAGATGAGGGCTGGCAGGGTGAGCACGTACAAAAAGTCAGCCAGAGCTAAGTTGAACATGTACACAGAGATGCCGCTCCAAGGCTTCATGTGGAAAACGAACATCCAGATAGCCACGCTGTTGCCAAGGAAGCCTATGATGAACACTAAGATGTAGACCGCCGGCAGATAGTAGAACTGGAAGCCGGTCTTGGTCAGGGCACATCTGAATGAAGAGGCGACTGCTGCTGTGGAGGCTACAGTACTGTTTCCCCAAGGCGAGCCCAGGCCAGCCAGGAAGGCTGTGTCCGTCCCGTTGGGGACAGCCGGCCAAGGGACCTCGGTCATCCTCTGTTCTCCAACTCAGGCAGCAACTCGGAGGGGCAGACCGCGGCGAGCGGGCGGCAGCGGCGAGAGGCTCAGCGCGCATCGGAGGCGCGGGCGAGGGGAAGGGACCGTGCGCGGGAGTTCCCCACGAGTCGGGGCGCGCGGGGGCTCGCCCACGCCGGCTCTGGCCGCGCGTTCGTCGCGGGCCATGAAATTCACCCCGGGGTTGCGACTACACCAAGCCGAAGGACGGGCAGGCAACTTCCCGGTCCAGCTGGCGGCGCGGAGGTTACACAACAGGACGCGCAGGGCACCTCCACCAAGTTTGCAAGTGCGCTCCCGCGCGGGGCACCAAATCGGCGCTGCACTGCGCTCCCAGGGCGCGGCGGGGTCAAGTCCAAGTCGCTCGGCGGTTCCCAGCGGCGAGAGGGCGCAGGCCAGCCACCTCCCCGCACTGATCAACTTTGCCTGGCCATCTGCCTAATCCCTACCTTGCAAGCCGGGACGTTCGCCGGAGCCGCAGCGCCGCTTCTTCCGGCCGCGCTCAGCCTCCCGGGTCCTTTGGAGAGCGCGTGGCCGCGGACCCCGACGCTGCTAGCCTGCACCCCGCTCGCCGTCCATGAAGGCTGCAGCTCTTCCCGAGGCTCTTCTGGGTCTCGAGTGCAGGGGGCAGGAAAGAGAGCCAGGCTCCCAGCGGGGTGGGCGGAGCCTGGGAGCCCGGGCGAGTCCGAGCTCCGCGGGGAGGAGAGGGGCGTGTCTCCGCTGTGCAGGCTCGTGGCGGCCGGGCTCAGGGCTGGGCGCTGAGGGCGGGAGGTGGCCTCTGGAAGCAGGGATCGCTGTGTCCCTGCACGCCTGGCACGGCCGGCCGCAGCCACTCGAATCAGTAGCCAGAACAAAAGGTACGCTAGGGTAGCGGTGGCTACCGGCGAGCGATTGGTCCGAGGGGTTTCATCAGACCCCCACCAGCTAGCTCTGCAAAGTGAAGTTGCTGACACACTGCAAAGCTTCTGGACGCTGGCAGCATTCTGCCTACAGCTTGGTGCTGAGCGGTCTAGGCAGACATCTCCAGAGCCTCTCGGAACTCGCAAGGTGTTTGCAGGCTCCAGACAGCCAGCAGTTTGCAGGTGGGCACGCCCTGGCCCTGCACAGCGCCTTGCTTTGCCCAGCGCGTGTAGGAACCTGCTGATCCCAGAGGCTGCCAGCTCTGAATGAGTGAGGGTGGTAAGCGGCATGGGCGAGTCGCGTTCTGCCCTTCATGTCTGTTTGTTTTTATTGTTGTTTTTTATTGTTGTTAATCTCAACTGTTTTTTTTTCACCTACTTAGCAAAATGCTAATAAACTAGCATCACTGGTATCATTATTCTGAGAATGTCCATAAGAGCCTGGTCCAACTGCTGTTAGTTAATGCTACATATATCATCACTACAACTTGTCTGCTAACACTTCCAAGTCTGCTAACCTCAAACCTCCATTTACATTTAATTAAATACCAGAGACTACAGTAAAAGTATTCCAAAATCAAACTGAGTATTAAACACAGCTTTATAGAGAAAGATTTTTTTCATTTGGGAAGTGATTAATGGATGGTTTGGCCTTGTTACCAATCCTATTTCTAGAAATTCATAATTACACATTCCTCTAGCAGATATCTTAAAAATACAGACAAATGACTAGTATAATTAGTATATTTATTGCTGATCTTAGTTTAGGCCTCCAAATGCATAAAATGTAGGCAATATATTCCAAAATGTGTTTACATTTAATTGTAAACTAAATGGATTGTTTCCTGCTTGAAGACATAATTAAACAGACTCTCCCAAGAAGGACACCAAGCACTTCATGACAATTTACTGATTAATGTATCTTGTGTGCTACATTAACAAATACGTTTCTCTCGTAGAAAAAAACATGAGAATGAAATGTCTTTAACTTTATACTATAACTATTTCTTTCTAGTCCCATATATTAAACGACCTTGTTCCCTTAAAAACACTGAGTAGGGGTTGGTGAAATGGCTCAGCCAGTAAAGGCATCAGTCCCTTACCACTAAGCCTGAGAACCTGAGTGTGATCCCTAAACTCACATGGTGGAAGGAAAGAACTGAGTCCCACAAGTTGTCCTCTGACCTCCCCATTCATACTCATGTGGGCTGTGGCACACGAGCATGTGTTGGAGTACACACACACACACACACACACACACACACACACACACACACAATGTAGGGGGGGAAGCAAACAAACAAAAAAGCCTTAAAGGAAAATCATGAGCTTCTTGCTTAGATCCTGGAAAGAAGATTTCTCCACACCACCCAGCAGATCCTTCGGGGAGACAGGAAGTTGTGTCTACATGGACAGAGTGAACACACTGGCGCTGTGCGTCGTGGTTGACCCCAAAGCATGGTAATGATGACACTAGACCGGGCCAAGGGGCAAAGGTACCGCCGTTCTGAAACAGCTGTGTTATTTCTTCTGTTTCTTTCCTGTCTCCACGTTGTAGGATTCCATAAGTGTAAGCCTTCAGAGATAGTCTTACATTGTTTGATTGGCAGGTTGCTAGCAGGGCTATGCATGCTATTAGGAAGGAAAAGGAAACAAGGAAAAACCACTAAGCATTTCAAGGGTACTCAGGAGGTCTTGACGCCTCACTCCTTGGCATTTTTCATTTGCAGTCTAAGCAATATATAACCTCCCTCAGAAGTCTGTTGCAAATGCATTAGCTCATCATGTGAGTGTTTTGAAATCTACCTTTGGTCCAAATAGCACTAAGCACTCTCAGAAAACCTACTAGAAATTTAGGGAATCAGACTGCAATGTAGACATTTTAAAATTGAGTTTATTATTTTAAATATTACTTTTACACTGATCGTATTTAATTATGTATTTATACTATGTTTAGGGAATATTAAAATAAAAATGTACTTTTTAGGAATAAGTTTACAATCATTTGTTAGTAACTGTCTATTTGTGAAATATTGAACTAGATTCAATGAAGGAAAAATCAAAAGATCACCTAAGGCAGACTGTGTCCATATTCATATTTGAATACAATTATATATGCCTAAAGTATAGGAGAAACATATGCCCCATATTACTTCCAACATTTGCTGCAAGCACTTGGATGCTAATTGGTAACAAATTGGAGTTCCAGTGTGTTGGGGCTCAGGTACTTCAAAGTATTTGTCCCTTGACATGCCTAACGGTCTGAACTAAAGGAACCCGAGGGGATACCTAGGCAAGATCTCTCTGACCTCCTCTTCTCCTGTCTGTAAGCCTCCACATTGTCTCCTGAGTTGAGGCTCAGGAGCCAGACTGTCTTGTGCTCTGGGTCCTTTGCTCCTCAGCCAACCATGAGACCTAACAAGGTCACTGACACTACCTCCAAGGAAGAAATGCTACCCAGAAGTACCAAGAAGAATCTAAGCAGACAGGGCTAGATTTCCCTTCCTATTTGCTGGCAGTTTTACCAAACCTAAGAATAAAAGCAGACAGCTTCCTTTATGGCTTTGCCCCTTCATTCTTCCAGGTTCCCATTCCACATAAACTTTGGTTCCAGAAAATTGATATTTTCCAGCTACTAACCTGCTTAGTGTTAGAGGTGTGTTCCTCCACGACCCTTAGGTTGCATGGGGAAAGGTATCATACCATCCCACCCTTAGAGATATAAGTGGCTAGTAAGATATTTAAATTTAGTTGAAAATGCCAATCACACACAAAGCTTGTCACAATACCATGCAACGTAGCAACAAAAGTCTTAGGAATGGCTTCCAGAACCCTGACATGAGGCAACAAAGGAATGAAGAGATGACAGACACATATACAGACATACAGAGAAAAGCCGAGATCAGGTTGTCTGGGTTCTCGGCTGAAGAAGCCACAGCACCCCAGAAGCTTGTCATGTTTATTATATAACCATTAAAAAGTGAGGAAGGGTTTATAACACACAGCTGAACATGAGGCAGGAGGCAGGTTTCGCTATCCTCAGTGTGATCTGCTGTCTTCAGGCCATAAACATCCTCAGGGAGAAAAACTACAGTGGACATTTCTGCACATGCTCTCCACATTTGCACTCGATCCAGAGGAAGGCTGTGCCATGCCTCTGAACCCCACCTTGGGAAGACTCTGCCACTCCCAGGGAGCTGGGGTGTTGAGGTCCTTGACATGGCCATGCTCCTATCAACAACACACATTCACTCAGGACTCCACTTGCTCCCCACAGACTTAGCTTTTATTGTCAGCATTAGATTAGGTACACTTAAAAAACTTCGCCTATGGTCTGGAGAGATGGCTCAGTGGTTAAGAGCATTGGCTGCTCTTCCAGAGGACCTGAGATCAATATCCAGCACTCACATGATGACTCACAACCATCTGTAACCCTGGTTCCAGGAATCCAATACCTTCTTCTGGCTTCAGTGGGCACCAGGCACACATGTGATTTACAGACATACATGTAGTTCAAACATCCACACACATATTAATTTAATAATTTTAAAGTAGAAAAATTAAAGAACAAAAGAATAAAAAGTCTTTAGAATACCCTATTGATACAGCTGGCAATAATGTTACTGTGGTGAATAATACAAGTGATAGAATTACCTGATCAGTAAGGTTAGAGAATTCACCCACTGTCAAACACTAGAAACTGTGATTAAATTTGGGTCACAGCCTTTAAAGTGCAAGCTAGTGATGGAGCAGAAAAAAGCAAGGGTTGATGCTAGGAAAGCTTAACTCTTAGTGGTCAATAAAGACGGAGTAAAAAAAAACAAACAGCAATTCCCAGAAGACTACTCTCAAGATAGAAAATATTAAGCGAGCCCTCAAAGGTGGTGACAGCCACAGACTCTTAGAAACTCCTCAAATATACTCACTATGTCTTTTATCAAACCAGTCAACAGTCCATATACAAGTTGAGAAAAGATAATTATTGAAGTCAGAGCTCTTCACATTTAAACTTATAAAGAAAAGCTTCTTGCCCTCAGATTCTCAAGATTCTGAAGATTACCATCTTTAGGAAACCTAATTTTTTGTGTTTAAAATAAAGATTGAAAAGATCACTGAAAATAATCCCAGCGTATGTCAACGAGCAAGAAAAGAAAAAGAAAATCTGGTTAAAATAAAGCTTTCTAACTTTAAAGTAGGCAAATACCACACCACAAACGCTAGAGCTAAGTTTGGTGTCAATATGAAAAGAGAGAAATCAATGGCCGGTATAGCTGTTCTGAGTTTTCAGGTAAGAGCAATGAAACCCTGATGAGCAGACAAGGAAACCCCGTAGAAGCTCCTAAGGCTGAGAAATGAAACGCAATGATTTCTGAAGAATACCTCAGGAAATGAGGAAAATGTTCCTCCTCCAATAAAAGGAGCAGGGAAATACTGGAAGCAAGAGAATTAAGGGATTCTCGGAGATGTCCTCCAAAGGAGAAACAGGAGAACGGGCTAAGGTGGGAATTATACAGAACTAACTGAAAGAAGGAGAGGATTGTCACGTGTCAAGAGGGCCCAGCTGCTCCGTCAATTACACACTTGTCAGGGATTCAATCAGTAGGCTTCCTGGAATTTATTTCATGATTTCATTTCACAGCAGGAGGAGAAACAGAGGAGACAAAAAAAACTACAGTCCCAGGTTGGGCTGGGGAGAAGGGGAGAGCCATGC